CAGCTCCGCCACGAGGCCCCGGCGGTTCCTTAGGGCGGCAGCGGGCGGGCCCTGTCCTCCCCTCCGCCTCCTCCTCCTCCTCCTCCCCTCCTCACCCTCCCCTTCTGCCCTTCTCCTCCTCTTCTTCCCTTCCCTCCTCTCCCCTCCTTTCCTCTCCTCCTCCTCCTCCCTCTCCCCTTTCCAAGGACATCCAAACCCAACACACAGAACCCCCCAAGGCGCTGCCTCCCCCATCCCTCCTGTCCCTCCTCCGCCTGCCACGGTGTAAAACCCCAAAATCCCAGCTCGGGGCACCGGGGAACGGCCTCGCCCCGTGCTCTGTCCCCGGGATCCCGCCTCAGCCACAAAAGCGGGGATTTAACCATTGCCCGGAGCAGCCCTGCTGGGGGAAGGACGGGACACGGCTGGGACGCTGCTCCTGCAGGAGGAGATTCACCTCGGGAGCTTCCAGGAGGGATCGGGACAATGCTCTTCTCCTTCCCCAAGAGGCTGGGCAGCTTGGGAAGCGCTGCGGGCTTTGTGGCAGGAAAAATAAAAACCAAAAAGCAACAAAAGAAGCCAGCGTGACATGGTGAGGATCTCCAGGAGGATTTCCAGAGGAACACAGGTGTGTTTCCAGGGGACACAGGTGTGCCCAGGAGCCGTCCCAATCCCACTAGAGGGAGCGAGAAGATCAGATCGGAGAGAGGAGGCTCCGGTGTCACCAGGCAGGGAATGTCACCTGCTCTGTGATAACGGGGACAAACAAACCCCGGGCAGGAGAGAGCCAGGGAAGGGCTGGGCTGCTCCCAGGGCTGGAGGGAAGAGGTTGGATGCCTGACCCTCCCACTGGGAATACGGTGTGATGAGGAAGAGGTTTTTCCCAAAAAATACACCTCAGCCCAGGAACTGATGGGTTCCAGCCGAAAGACAAACATCTGAGGGCACATTCCAGGGAGGTTACAGCAGCTCCTGAGCCTCACGCGATGACTTCAGGCCGCAGGAGCTGCTGTTTCCCGAGGCAGGAGCGTGTGGCCAGCGCATGTTCCGAGCCATCAGCTGCCCCAGCCACAGCCGGGCTGCTGAAAGGAGCTGCGAGCCGGCTCTGGAACCTCCCCGGGGAGGAGCATCCTGCTCAGGGGGTCTGCCTTCCATCCCAGGAAACGTGGAAAACATCTAAAATTGCACCATCCTGCCTGAAGCAAACCCAAGCCGATCCGAGGGACCGGCTGGGAAAGCCAGCCGCAGCTCCAGGTCCATGGCAGCATCTCCTGCCGGGTTTCCCCCATGCCAGCCTCACCGAGGGCACCAAGAGACCCCAAAAAGCCCCTCTCCTGCTCCCCTGCACTTGCTCTGCAGCACACAGCACTGAGGAAACAGATTTCCATGACCCGGCTCTCCCAGTGCACGGACCAGGAAACATTAGAAGTGAAAAACAACTCCTCAGCCAGGATTGAGGCGTTCTTTTCCCCCCTGGCTCCCACCCAATTTTCTCTGCACAGCTCCAGTTCTGGTCCTGCCCTGACTCACAGACAAACCTTCTCTCTCCCCGGCTTTCTCCTGGTTTCCCTCTGCTCCTCAGCCGTGCCCCTGTCCCATCCCACGGGGCAGCACAGGCAGCAGTGGCCCCAGGCTCCTTCAGCACAAACATCTGTGCCCCAAATGGCAAACCCTACAATTGTGGAATGGTTTGCTTTGGAAGGGACCTGAAACTCATCCCATTCCACGCCCTGCCATGGACAGGGACACCTTCCACTAGACCAGGCTGGCAACTGTTCCCCAGGTGCCCTTTGCAGCTCTTCTCTCCTCTCCTGGCTCGGCAGGTCCTGAGCCCTTTTCCTGAGCACAGCCAGGAGGGTTGAGCTGTCATGGGGTTTTTTTAGACATGACTAGTCACCTCTCTCCCAGCTCAGAGCCCTTCCCAAACTCCAAGGAAGGCACCTCGCCTGGGGAAACAGCTCCGTGCCCGGGCAGGGATGGGGTTCTGGCACTGGGCACACACTGAGCTGGCAGAGAGGCAGTGAAATCACTCCTGGCAGATGCTTTGGGGTGGGAGATCCCCTGCTCTGAGCAGAGGAGCTCTGGCTTCTGGGGACACTGCGGGGTCGGATGTCCTGGGAAGGGGAAACCCACGGGGCAGCCACCACCATGGTGGGTCTGGGGGCTGCTGAGCTGCCTGGGGTGTGGGCTGAGGCCACCCACCCTCCCCAGGGCCCAGCAGGACAGGAGGGAGCGCTGCTGCAGGGACACGAGTGCTCCTGTGGCCTCTCAGGGTCTCACTTTCATCTCACAGGTAACAGCACTGGGAGCCAGACTCACCTGAGCACAGAGCCTCCACGGCAGCACCAGGGAGCAGCAGCTCATCCCTGCATTCCAGCCTGCTCCCATTCCTACTGCAGAGGAATGGGAATGTGAGCCAGCAGCAGGACAGAGCCTGGGGCTCAGCAGGGAGGGGCAGCCCTGTGCCCCGTCCAGGAGGGCAGGGTGGGCACGGCCACCCCAGCAAGGCCTCCAGGAGATGCTCAGCAGCTCTTGCCCCCCATCCTGCAAACCTGCACCTTTCTGAGCCTTTGCTGGTGGCCAGAGCTGACGTGAGGCCCTTCACCTAACCCCAGCTCGGGTCATGTCCCTCCAGCCCTGAGGCCTCTGTTCTCAGCCCAGGGACACTGGGCTCTTCTCGCCTGGGATCTCCCCAGAAATTCCCACACTGTCCTGTGATGGTGGCGTGAAGCATATTCATGAATTATGGAATGCACTGAGAGAAAGGGACCTAAAAACCCACCCAGTGCCACCCCTGCCATGGCAGGAACACCTCCCACTGTCCCAGGTGCTCCAAGCCCTGTCCAGCCTGGCCTTGGGCACTGCCAGGGATCCAGGGACAGCGCCAGCTGCTCTGGGCACCTGTGCCAGGGCCTGCCCACCCTGCCCTGTGGCAGTGGGAACCCGTTCCCTGTGTCCTGTGGCTCTGCAGCCGTGAAGTGACACCCTGGGGCTCGCAGGGGACACGCTCCGTCCCCGCCGCCTCCCGAGCCCCAGCCCCGGGGCCACCCCCGGCCCCGGTGTCCCCTCGGTGGCCAGGAGAGGCCCCGCCCCCTAGGGCACAGGCCCCGCCCCCTGTGGCACAGGCCCCGCCCACCGCCCGTCCCT